AAAGCAGGTCTGCAGAGTGGAAAGCTTGCTATGCTGTTAACTGATATTCTGATAACAGATGAGATGAAAGCAATGGTGGAAGATGGAGGTGTCACATTACAATTAACAACCACTGTAGATTCTACCTGTCTAACAACGGCTGAAGCATTTTTCAAAGGTAATATTATACAGTACATTACAGCACGAAATAAAAGGTTTGTGTCTTATGGCAAGAGATCATTAGAATTGTTATTACACTACAGTCAGGTCATAACTTCCATGCACATCAGTTGGCTTTGGCTTTTGATAAAAACAATTATCATTTTTAAAGTGAGTTTTCTTGTCATCAATAATTTCAACTTATTTTTTGTAGTGATTACCAGTGTTATATAATACATATAGGAGTACATATTTAGGAGTAGATTGCTGTGCATTATTGTGATGTGTGAGAGTTTTTAAAGCAAGATAAACTTTAAACCAAATAAATGTTAAATTATGCTTGGGTCGTATATGCCATTATGACAGTACATTCAAATCAGTAAGATATATCAGTTCTTCCATTTCCCATTTTGGTCACAGTGACTGCTATTATTTTTGTTGATTGCTGCACACTTCAAATTCTTTTAGTGATCAACCAACCCTCTTAAGCCCCATTAGTGACTGGATTATAGTAACCATCTAAGCCTGTTATCAGTTCCGTGAATGCCTTTGAGCCATCCTTTGCACTCCCATCTGATCCCTTGACATAAAACATTTGCTCTATTCTCTGCCCTGCATAAACCTCCTAGTGCAATGTTGTTTGTAGAGTTGGTGCATATCTGGGTGTGAATCCATTCTGACTTCCCTGATTTGGCCCACAATCATCCAAGCCACCTCTTTCTCATGTTGGTTGTTTTGAGGTAATTTTTTGTAGGGTGGCTTGTTAATTTTCATACTTTACTCACCAGACCTGCTTTCAATAAAAAATATACTGCTTTTCAGTTTCGCAGTTGTTTCACGTCCAGTTGTGGTAGATCATATACAAATGTCTTGCATGCTTGTTATTGTAACTGTAGTGAATTAACCAGCTATGACTACACTTATCTTAAAGTACAGTTCAGATGATCATGACCTGCAGTATAGTTTATAACTAGGATTATAGTTATGGTGTATGTTATACATAAATATTCTTTATTATGCAATACTTGCCTGTCATTTCAAAATGTATACATACTCCTCTAGTATTGGAACAAATCATACATACGTCAACTTGTTAGTGGGGACTTTTTTTCTCAATCTTGATCACTAGAGTATTATTTGTTATATTCAGCTTATGAGGAGGAACAAAAGATATTTACGGTTGCAAGAGTGGAAACTGTTACCAAGTTGTATCTCAATAGAGAACGTCAAGCAGGTCTTGCACATTTTAATTTGATGACGACTAGATGGCCTTCAACATTCGAAATAAAACTGTTCACTGAAAGGTTTCTTCAAAGCAAAACCGCTGATATTAAAACAGCGCAACCTCAATTTAATGACGATGAAGTTGCCTCAACATCAACATACACACAGGTAATTTTCCTTTATTTTACTTTCAACTGAATGTGCAAAACCACATTAGAGACACTTTTCATTATCCCCTGTTGATACACAATGCGACTAATGGACTGACCTCTATGCGTTCACCATCCATGCATGTCTGCTGCAAACATTGCGCATACAACATGGAAGTTGTCTCAATGTCAACAGACACTGGGGTAATGTTCAACCATTTGACTTTTAAATGAATTCGCTAACCTGCATTAGGGACACTTTTTATTACTCCCTGTTCAGACACAATTGGACTTATGAACTGATATATGTGCGTTCGATCGTCCTTGCATACAACAAGCATGTTCACCTCAAACTTTATGCATACATCATTAATCTAGTGATACATATGTGCATCTATTAGTTTC